TATATATATATATATATATATATATATATATATATATATTGATATTTTTTCTTATATATATAGGAAAAGATTAAAAATAAAATATGTAATTGAAGTTATTTTTGTTATTTATTTTTTTATTTTCACTTCTAAATTTATTTTTTAGATTAAGTTCTATATTGATTTATTTTTGTTATCCTAAGATAATTAATTTTTTGCAGCATGAAGCTCAGTCCAATGGTGGGACCAAATGCTTGAAGCCAGAATGAACGAGAGAAACTAAACGACAGGGAGACCACGCAACAAATGTGTGACTCAGAAAACCCACAATATTCAGTGGGTTCTCTGGTGTGTCGTTTAATAGGTTTAGGAGCGCCCAATAAATGACACACCAGAGATCCCAGTGAAAATCTGAGAAAATAAGAGCAAAAGATGGCAGACTCTGCTGGCAGCCGCACACAGACGTGCTGTTCAGCGTCTCCACGGCATCTCATGACTGAGCTCTCCGACGCCTACAAAGAGACGTACAGAGGTATCATTTCACAATACTGGCTAATGCAGCTCAGCAGACCAGTGCGTCTGGCAACAGAGGAGAACCAAACACCTTGCTCAGGTTACGCACAGATTTCAGATCTAGCACACACTCACATAGACGGTTTACATTATGATTTCATATTGACTTTAATATTCAGTCTTTAAATTCAGATGCACTACATACCCTCAATGCCAAATGTAGCCTGTCATTATTTAATTCAGCTAGATAGAGCACATTTAACAGAATTAAACGCCTAAAAATGAACCCCATTTATGTTTCTGGTGTTTGTTTTTAATGAAGTGAAAGAAATTTGTGTCACAAAGTTTGCATGGGCAAAACATTTCAGTAAATATGGGATTTACTGAAAGCTATGGCAGCGTGTGGGAATTTCTTCTTTCGCCATATTAATCCTCATATCCAACACCTGCCTGCAATCATTCAGTTGTGTGAGAGCTGTTTATGTATTGTTTTAATGACGTGAAAATGGCTAAATAAACAGAATCTGAATGTTTAGTTTGTGTTTACCAATTATTATGACAGTTTAGCATTTTGAGCGTAAGTACATAGAGGCTAACTTGGCCTCAACATAAACTAAATCACTCTTTAAAAAATAATAATGGTGATTGAAAAAGCATCTATTTCTCATGCAAAGTTATACATCAAGTTTAAAATTTAGAGTAGATGGGAATTTTGTTAA